CATGGAGTGGCAGATTCATCTCAAGCAAATATTTTTTCACAGAAGGACCAAACACTTCATTGATCCAATCAGTAACAAGGTCACGTGTCACCCAAGCCTTGTTGTTGGACCTCCACATCACATTTAGCCTGCTCTTCTGGACTTTACACTTCTTGAAGGCTCATGGAGTTTCTGAATGGTAAACAAGCAGCGGTTTAAATTTCAAATTGCCGCTTGCATTGGCACAAAATAGCGGCGTGAGATGGTCTTTCATTGGCTTATGGCCAGGCAATGCATTATCCTCTGCTGTTATATAGGTTCACTTCAGCATCTTTTTCTAGAAGAGACTCGTCTCATCACAATTAAAAACCTGTTGTGGCAGGTAACCCTCAGAATCTACAAGCTTCTTGAAGTCGCCGATGAAGTTCTGTGCTGCCTTTGTGTCGGAGCTTGCTGCTTCACCGTGCCTTACAACACTGTGGATACCGGTTTTTCTCTTAAACTTCTTGAACCACCCATGGCTTCCCTTAAATGCTTCTTTGTCGGCCGTTGATGATGCTGGCGTTTTCTTAACGAGGTCGGAAAAAATCACTTTCGCATTCTCACAAATGATGTTCTCATTAATAGTATCGCCTTGCAATTGCTTTTCGTTTATCCATATGAGGAGCAACCTTTCAACATCGTCGAGAATACGTAATCGTTGCATAGATATTCTTGTCACTCCCTCTGAATCATCTGTCTCCTTAATCTTGTCCTTGTTCTTGAGGATAGTGCAAATCGTTGATGTAGACCGATTGTTTGTGCGTGCTAGATCAGCCGCGCTAACACCTCGTTCCCACTTTTCAGTGATTTTGCTTTTCATTTCCATGGTTATTTTTATTCTCTTATGGCTGTCTTTTTGTGGCCTTTTCTTCAGGGACACATTTGCAAGGGTTATTAAACTTTTCACAAAAAAAATCACAAATAATATGTCTGAACACAAGTTTGGAAAAATGTGTGATCACAAGCGACACTAAGATGCAAGCAGAATGAGTGCTAAACACAGACTGATGTAGCAAGTGCACAATCCGGGAGTTCCCCTCTTGTCACTCGTTATGCGAGTCATTTTTTTACAATTTGTTTTGCTCGTTATGAGAGGTGGTCGGTAAGCGAGGTTCCACTGTACTTTGATATTGCTGAATCTGTCTCAGCAAAAAGGCCATGTCCTGCCAGATTTCCTAAATATGATCAGATTATTTGAACATACAAGAAAATTATGTATTCAAGAATACAAATTGATAAAACAGGCTAGACAAGCATTGTCATATGATAGTGAATCATGGACAGTTAGAACTGAGAAAAATGATTTGTATCCACAGAATTATGTTTTGTAGGGACTTTGAGGTACAACCAGTTATACCATAAGACACATGAAAAAATAAAAATCCCACACATAAGAAAATATATAGAAAAATACAGTAGAAATTTGAAAGAACATGTTGACAGAATGAGCTCTGACAGAATTCTGAAAATTGATCTTAAAATATTGACCAAAAGGAAAATAAATCTGGGAAGATCTCTGAAATTATTCTATTTTCAGCCTACTTCCGTCTTTTTGAAAAGTTAAAGTAGGCATGTGAGATCACCTTCCTGTCTCTGTATCACCCCCCCCCAATCAACTTTCAGATACCTGAACCAATCTCTATAAAACTTGGTATGTATATCATGTCACATGATACCATCTCAGTGACCTGCTTCATAAATCCTTTTCATCAGTCTGTGTGTCTGTTTGTGTATCCCCCCCCCTATCATTGCTAGGCAACAGCTCAGTAAGCAAGTTTTGGCACCAACAAATACACACAGGAATAGCAGAATTGTTGGACACATCATTTTGTGTGTAGTGTGTTTCATATCATAGGAGAGTCTGTGGGTCTGTCTGTGTATCTCCCTGTCATTGCTAGTCAGGGGCTTGGTAAACACATTCCTGTAGCAAGGAAGAATTGTTGGAGGCATCATTTTCTATACGATTGTGTAGTAGGTGATAAGTTTTTCCCAGAACTTCTTGTTTAATATTCAAACAGGTCTTCATAGATCTAATTCTGGAAAGGGTGATGATAAATAAAAGACAGTTTCACATTATTCAGAATACATGAGTGTGGTGAATTCTTTTCTCCATGACATGCTGTATTTATTTATTTATTTATTTATTACTAGGACATGTTGATGTGTGTGGTGCAAAGATTTAAAATTAAACTTTTTATCCATGTGTAATTAATTGTACAAGATGCAGTAAGTACAGGGTGGTGCACGAAATGATCCAGTATTTGATCTATTGATAAAATCACTGTTTCAATTACAATACTAGAAACTAACACATAAAAAGAGAGACCATTGCATGGAGATGTATCCTCTGTGAATCAAATGTTCAATATGACCACCATTACGCCTGGCAACTTCTTCAACACAAACTGTGATGTTGATTGCTCAACGGCACATATCCTCAGTTATCTTGTTGCATGCCTGAATAATTAGTGCTCTCAATTCCATTATTGTTTGCAGCTTTTCGGAAAAATCTTCCTTAAGGAATCCCCAAAGGAAATAGTCACATGAGTTTAAATCAAGACTATTCGGGAGGCCAGTTCTGTCCACATGTGACATGGTCAAGAAATTGGTCTGAGATGACATGTGAGTCATAAGTATCATGCAGAAAGTCCAAAACAACATTTGCTGTGTGTGGCCTGGCTCCATCCTGCATGAACCACTGAGTTTGTAATGGCAAACGTGTAGCAAGAACGTGAGACACAAAACTATTGTGCAACATGCTTAACCTTTATGGGATGGGCCATTTAAATTCCAATAGTGGCAGCGGGACGGAGTTAATTTAAATGCCCGCCATTGTAGAGTAATAAAAATTGTAATCATGTTACTCAAAATGCTGTGATTTCTATAATTTTTGTGATAAACGAACGAAATAAACGCTGCTTTTATCTAGAAAGAATATAGAATAAGATATTGTAATTTACAGATTTTAGAATCTGTAAAAATTGTTACAATTTTGAGCATCTGTCCACAAAACTGCAGTCAGTTTCTGCACAAAACGTTTCTGCAGTATAAATGCCTGCTGCTGACATCATTCGTACTGGTACTGGCTTATCTTCAAAAGGGGAGGAAATGTTTATGCTTTTATAGCACTCCAACCTTTCTGTATACAGGAGTGAGGTCACTCCCTCAGAGGCTGTCTGTGTATACACGTATCTGCCACACAAGAAGTACTGTTATGCTTCTTGGAAAGGCCCGCACATGGCCCCTTCTTCTACGTACTTTCAGTCTTATGTACCACATTCTAAATCGGTGACATTTATAAGCTGCCTACTAACTTCGGCTTCTTCCATGCGAAATGGGGCCATGGGGGATAGTTGAAATTGCGATGT